CCCCAAAACCCCAAAACCCCAAAACCCCTTCCACTATTACTAAAATTGAAACTCAAATCCCTCTCCATCTACCCCCAATCCAACTTCCCCAAGTCTTCTTTCTAACTTCTCCCGAATGGACCCCATCCTTTCCTCTTACCCTCCTCTTCTCCAACCTTTCACCTCCCCATCTACACCCACTCGCAGTCTCAGCCAATACCATTGCATCATTAACAAGAGATAGTCTTCTAGTCGTTGAACGTTGTTGGAGGTGACTCAAGAAGGAAAGATTGGGGTTGGGATAGCTGTGAACAGAAGTAGGGTGAACCAGGGAGGAGGAAGGGGTTTAGGTGTGGGTGGAGTGGGAGTGGGAGGAGGGTTTGGAGAGGGGTGAGGGATGGGTTGGTTGGAGGTGAGGAAGGGGAGGGGAGATATGTGTGGGGATTTTGAAGGATAAAGGTAGCTTTGTAATGAGGGATTGGAGTGTTCTGTGTTTGTATAAGAGAAGAGAATTAGAGTTAGGGAGAATAAGAGCGAAGATGTTATGAACTTACGCTGACTAAAGTGAGCCATTTTAAAAAATAAGCAGCGTGGTCATGCTTTCTGTTGATTTACAAAGTTCTCCTGGAAATTATTACAAGATAAATTTTTCGTAGATATCAAACAGAGCTTTGACAAAAGAATCGATTTGCTTTCATTCGATCTTTTTAATATACCTAAGACGATGAAGTGTAAATCATACTTTATTATGATTAAGATTTTTATAAAGTATCTTTGACAATCATTATATTTTCTCAAATTATCCAATATTTATCCAAATTCCTCCTCCTAAAATTTCAAATAAGTCAACTCATCTCCAGAACTACCTTATCTACTAACCAACACTTATACTCCATTCAAACCTCTCTCCAACCACTTAAACAATCTTCCCATTCAAATCCTTCCCAACACCTTCCCCATCGCACTTCTTTACCCCCTCTCCTCCCTGTACTCCAGTCCAACACATCTCCAATCCCTTCCTAAACCCAAAGGCTCCCAATCCAAAGTCATTTCGCTTGTGCAATAGCCTAAATGCACTACACCATTTTTAGGCTCAGAGGAGTAATAGAACAATCGGAGTTTCAATAAGAGCGGGGATTGAAGGGGTTTTGGGGTTTTGGGGTTTTGGGGTTTTGGGG